TTCCATAATTGATAATATGCCATATTTATATGTTTTAATAGGCCTTCCATTGGGGAGTATGGATTAGGAAATCTTTGATGTCTTTTAATAATAGTACATTAAAACTCTTGTGTATTACATTCCATGAATGTAGGTTTTTTAGCATTTAATATTTTATCTATTCAGATACTAAATTAAAAAAATAAAGGAAATAAATGGATCAGTAAAAATAGTTGAAATAGTTTCATGTTTTAAAGAAATGGGATAGGAGTTCTGATAACTACTTGTGAATCCCATAGTTGCTATCTAAAGTCTTGTTCTATAATATTACACATAAAGTACATTCACCATGGCATAAATAGGTTTTGTTCCTGCAAAGTGCAGTAGTTAGAATAACAGAAAATTAGGGTTTAGAATGGATTTCAGCAGGTCAGCTAATCCAACCCCCTGCACAAAGCAGGACCACCCCCAACTATATCATCCCAGCCAAGGCTTTGTCTGTCTGGGTCTTAAAATCTATAAGCATGGAGATTCCACAAGCTCTCTGGGTAGCTTGTTCCAGTGCTTTACTGCCCTCCTCCTGAGAAAGTTTTTCCTAAAATCTATCTTGTTATTGACCTGGAAAAATGTGGGCAGTGGGGTCCCCCAAGGCTCGGTCCTTGGACCTGTGCTATTTGGTGTTTTCATCAGTGACTTGGATGAGGGCGTGGAGAGCACTCTGTCCAAATTTGTGGATGACACAACATTATGGAGTAAAGTAAGCACACTAGTGGGAAGGGATTGAATCCAGGCAGACGTGGACAGGTTGGAAAAGTGGGCAGAAAAGAATAGGATGCAGTTCAACAAAGACAAGTGCAAAGTGCTGCATCTAGGGAGAAGGAGTCACTAACACACCTATAGGCTAGGGGATGACCTTCTCAGCATCACATTGGCAGAAAGAGATCTCGGCGTCATAGTTGACTCCAAGATGAATAGGAGCCGTCAATGTGATGAAGTAATCAGTAAAGCTAACTGCACTCTATCATGTCATGAACAGGTTCAGGGTGGTGGTACTTCCCCTCTATGTGGCACTGGTCAGGCTGCAGCTGGAGTACTGCGTCCAGTTCTGGGCACTGCACCTCTAAAGGGATGTGGATAACGTTGAGAGGGTCCAGAGGAGGGCCACTCATATGGCTAGGGGCCTGCAGGTCAGGCCCTATGAGGACAGACTGAGGGACCTGGATCTCTTCAGTCTCTGCAAGAGAAGACTGAGAATAGATCTTATGGCCATTTACAAATTCATCAGGGGGTGGGGCAGCAAGAAATAGGAGATGCTCTGTTTACCAGACCAGGAACAACAGCCACAAAGTGACAGCGAGCAGATTTAGGTTGGACATCAGAAAGAACTTTATGGTAAGGGTTACCAGAAGCTGGAATGGGTTTCCAAGGGAGGTGGTGCTCTCCCCTACCTTGGGGGTCTCTAAGAGGAGACTGGACAAGCTTCTAGCTGGGGTCATATGACCCTAGTGCTCTTTCCTGCCTAGGGCAGGGGGTCAGACTCAATGATCTATTGAGGTCCATTAACAACAACGAATCTATGAAACTTAAACTTCCCTTACTGCAACTTGAGACCATGATTCCTTTTTCTGTTGTCTGCCACCACTAAGGACAGTCTAGCTGCATCTTATTCTACCCTTCAGGTAGTTGAAGGCTGTTATTTAATCCCCCCTCAGTTTTCTCTTCTCCAGACTAAATAAGTCAAATTCTCTCAACCTCTCCTCAGAAGTCCTTTTCAGTCCCCAGTCTAACCATTTTCATTGTTCTCCATTGGACTGCCTCCAATTTGTCCACCCTCTGTAGTGGGGGCCCCAAAACTGGACACAGTACTCTGGATCTGGCCTCATTAGTGCTGACTAGAGGGGAAGAATCACTTCCTTGAATCTGCTGGCAACACTCCTACTAATGCAGCCCAGTATGGTGTTAACCTTTGCAACGAGGGCACATTGTTGACTCATATTGTACACTGTAACCCTCAGGTCCTTTTCTGAAGAGCAACTGCTTAGCCAATCAATTCAGAGTCTGTACTGGTGTATGGGATCATTCTGTCCTAAGTGCAGGAATTTGCACTTGTCCATATTGAACTTAATGAGATTCCTTTTGGTCTAATCCTCCAACTTGTTGAGGTCTCTGAATCCTAGCCTTACCCTTCAGCAATAATATCTACTATTACCCCCAGCTTGTTGTCATTTGCAAAGTTGCTGAGGATGCATGCCATCCCATCTTTTAGATTGTTGATGAAGATATTGAACAAAACCGGCCCTAGGACTGACCCCTGGGGCACTCCACTTGATACCAGCTGCCAATTAGACATAGAGCCATTGATTACTACCCTTTGAGCCTGACAATACAGCCAGTTTTTAATCCACCTTACAGTCCATTCATCCAACCTATACTTCCTTATCTTGCTTGTGAGAATGTTGTGGGAGATGTATCAAAAGCATTGCTAAAGTCAAGGTATATCACATCCACTGCTCTTCCTGCATCCACAGAGCCGGTCACCTCATCAGAGAAGGCAGTCAGGTTGGTCAGGCATGATTTGTCCTTGGTGAATCCATGCTGACTATTCCTAATCACCTCCTGTTCCTCCAGGTTCTTAGAAATGGATTCCTTTAGGACCTGCTCCATGATTTTTCCAGGGGTTAAGGTGAGGCTGACCAGTCTGTGGTTCCCCGGATCCTCCTTTTTCCCTTTTTTAAAGATGGGCACTATATTTGCCCTTTTCCAATCATCCAGGACCTCTCCAGATCTCCATGAGTTTTCAGAGATAATGGAGGGTGGCTCTATAATCATATCAGCCAACTTCCTCAGTGCATTTGAGTGCATCACATCCAGCCCATGGACTTGTATGCTTCCCTAACCTGTTCTTTTGCCATGGTAAGATGCATCCCTCCTCCACAAACTGTGTTGCCAACGGCAGTACTCTGGAAGCTAACCTTGCCTGTAAAACCTGAGGTAAAAAAGGCATTGAATACTTCTGCCTTTTCTGCATCATCTCTCACTAGATTGTGCCCTGTCCCCCAAACATTTAGGGACCCACACTTTCTCTGATCTTCCTCCTGTTGCTGACATACTTGTAGAAACCCTTCTTGTTACCCTCCATGTCCCTTGTGCAACTCCAGTTGCACTTTGGTCTTCCCAATTTCATCCCAGCATGCTGGAGCACTACACTTATACTCCTCCCTAGTCATTTGTCCAAGTTTCCACTTCTTACAAGCTTTCTTTTTAGTGTTTTAGGTCATTGAAGGGTTTTCTGCTAAGCCATGCTGGTCTTCTGCTATACTTAGTAGTCTTCCTGAACATCACATTGGTTAGTTTCGGTGTCCTTAATAGAATCATAGAATCATAGAAAATGAGGGTTGGAAGGGACCTCAGGAGGTCATCTAGTCCAACCCCCTGCTCAAAGCAGGACCATTCCCAACTAGATCATCCTAGCCAAAGCTTTGTCTAGCCTAATTTTGAAAACTCCCAAAGATGGAAGTTCCACCATCTCTCTGGGTAACCTGTTCTAGTGTTTTACTACTTTGTAGTGAGAAAATTCTTCCTAATATCTAGCCTAAACTTCCCTTGCTGCAACTTGAGACTGTTGCTCCTTGTTCTGTCATGTGCCAACACTGAGAACAGTCTAGCTCCATCCTCTTCTGAATACCCTTTCAGGTAGCTGAAGGCTGCTATTAAATCCCCTCTCATGAAGTAGTCATTCTGAACATAGGCCCTACTACAGACAGAGGGACTCTGGGCAGCCAGCATCTTTGAGAATTAGGCTTAGTAGCTGAGGAGCCTAAACATGGATTATGGGGTTTGAATCTCAAGCTTGAAAAACTGGTGTAAGTAATAAGACCTTATGCCAGGATCTCAGTTGATTCATGCATATCATCCCCACAACTGCTGGAAAAGCTCTTGGAGAGCATATAGTCTCTCCATGGTTACTATACTAGCCCATGAGCTTGAATAACAGCTGCAGGTTCTTTGTGCCTCTCATTAATATGAGAGGGGAATAATCACTTCCTTCAGTTGTAGACACTAAATTAATTCTAACCTTGATCCATAACTCATCTCTAAAGAGTACCTTCCATGCCAGGCATTTTAGGTTGATGCAAATCATTCTACTTTCAGCAATACCTATGGGAATCCATTGAAATCAACTGAAGAGAGAGTTTGTCACTAGCAGTGTAACACTGTAATCATTGGGATAATCATTTTCACCGGTGATGTGAACTCTATGATGTTTCATTTGTGGGCCTGAAAGAGAATCATATTCTGTTATTTTTAAAGCTTCTCTTTAACTTGTGTTTTAAAACTTAGTTGCTTGAGATTTCCACTTTTAAAATCTGAAAGTTGTAAGTATAGTGCAAACTTCAAACCATTCTGAACTGTTATGTCAAATCTGAGGTGCATAAACTTCTGAATAAGCCCATTTGAAGAATTCTTAGTTATCTCTTCTAATTTTCCCTATTTCTTCTCAAGTGCTGAGTTTTGAAAGTTTTTTTTTCAAATTCAGAGTAGAGTTATTCAGGAGAAAGTGTACATACTTCCATGAAATTTATGAAATCATAAACTTTCATGTGTTCCACTGTTAGTTCTATTGCTGCTTTATAGGTATTGTACTGTACTGTAATACATGTCTGCTTAGAAGGCTTTTAAGACTGGTCTAAGTTTAACTGAGAAAGTTGTTCCCTGAGAGGTTTTCTGATGGGAATGCAGTTGGGACATATCAACTGGAAGAGTTGTTTTACCTTTGTAGATATATCACATGCTACTTCTAAACTATTGTTGTCAGTAGATGTTCACGATCCTTTTGACTTACTGCTAGATGCTGAGTTAAAACCTGCTTGTGAAGATAATTAATTAAGCTATAAAGAAATCTTTACTGAAACATAATGTTTTACCAGATATGTTATGTGGTTCAAAGTAAGAGAATCTGTGTCAGTGTCACTGCAGGCAAAGCATGACAACCTTCAAAACGCTGCTCTTTGCTTCTTTAGGATAGAAAATTATGCTGATACAGAATCTTCTGTTCAATTGGATGATTTAAAACCTGTTATGAATGGAAATGAAGAGAATGAAAAGCTTCAAGTTAAAATACAGGCTTTCGAAGAAAAAATAAGTATCGACAATAATACTCCTGGCTCTGCGCGCAGATACAGTGTTGGCCAGTTTTCTAAAGAAGAAAGGAAGGAAATGCGATTTAATAGGTATGGTTCTATAGAATACATGATTGGTTTTCATGTATGTTTTACAGCGAAGCTTTATTCACTCATTAGGGGAAAAGGTCCAGTTGTATAATATCAGAGAGCACTGTGAATCTAAATCTAGGCAGGTCCTATGTCTTAAAGTGAGATAAGAGGTTTTGGATTATTTATTCTGTCTGTCTTGTGCCATGGCAGAGAAGCTGGAAGAAAATGTTTGTGTATATAAAACTCTAGAAATGAGGATTCAGAGAGCTCTTTTGGATGTTACTAGTAAAGACTCTGATAATGGTTTATTGCTGTGTCAAGCTAAACTTGACTCTGACTAGATTTAGGGTGGGACAAGAACCAGTTCAAACAAATTGCAGCTACAAAGTTGCCCCAGCAACTCTACTATAAGTTTTATTTTTCATGTTCAAGTACTGCATGGGTGGAATAGGATATTTTATACTGACTTAGTGTTCTTTGGCCAAAACATGAGCCACTGAAGAACTGAGACATTTCTTCCCACAATGTTCCCTTTCCCCCCTGGTTTTCTCTAAACACACATAGACCATTTCAGTTTCCTATTCTCATTCCTCCTGTTTCTCAGCACTGGTGAGGCTTCATCTGGAGTACTGTGTCTAGTTTGGGCTTCAGACTTCAAGAAGGATGTGGAAGTTTGGGAAGAGTCCAATGGAGAGCAACAGCAAAGATTAGAGGCCTCAGAACTATGACTTATGAGGAAAGGCTAAAAAAACCTAGCGCTATTGATCCTGAGGAAGAGAAGACTGAGGAGGGATAGATAAGTCTCCAGATACCTGAAGGGCAATTACAGAGAGGATGGAGATGGGTTTTTCTCTATGACAGTAGGAGACACGACTAGAAGCAATGTCTTCAAGGTTCAGCAGCACAGATTTAAGTTAGAAATTAGGAGGAACTTTCTGACTATGAGGGTAGTCAATCCTTGGAAAAGGCTATCCAGAGAAATAATGGAATCTCCATCCCTGGAAGTTTTCAAGACCAGATTGGACAGACATTTGGCTGGGATGGTCTAGTCATGCTTTGAGCAGCTTTGGCCAAGAGACTGCACTAGACAAACTCATGAGATCCATTCCAGCCCTATTTTCCTATGATCCTGTGATCCTAACTTCCTTTGGGAGAGTAAAGTTCCTTAGGTAGTGGTCATGGTAGGCAACAAGTGGTGAGGAAGGTGTCTTTTGAGGGGCTGATACTTTTTTGCCTTGCATCTTAGGTAGTCATTTGGGTATGTGCAAAATGAGTATGAAATACACCCAGATTAGAGTTCCCCATTCACCATGTTACAAACAGTATACAAAGTTGTAAATGGCTACACATAGTGCAAGGGAGTGGAGCATCAGGTCTTAAATCTTGGATCTTGCAGTTGCAGGAGGCACAACAAAAGGACTTTGAGAGGGGATCTGGGTTTGGATGCACCGTTGCTGGATGGGGTTCTTTTAAGACATAACTGATGGACTATGAACTTAGGGTGCTTATACATATGCTCTGATACGTTCTAATTAGAGCACATCAGAGCAGTCTTGATTAACTGAGTCTGCTCTGTGTTCTAATTAGAATGCTTTATCATCACTGCAGTGTCAAGTGTATTAGCCTCTGTGGGTTTAAAAATATCTGCTGGGGTGTTTTAACTAAAGCTTGTCAAATGAGCTTTAGTTAAAGTGTCCCACAGACATTTTTAAATGCACAGGGGCTTACTACATTTATGCTGTGGTGTTTTAATTAGAGCAGCTCTCCAGGAATTTGTATAGGCACCCTCAGGTGCTAACTTAGTCCAGTATAAATATGGTACTACAGGCTCTACTATACATGTGTTGTGGTATATGCATTTGTGATATACATGGGCACTGCATTAGTTCACTTCACTTCAGCTGTGACTTGATTTGAGTTCTGAGTATATGCTCCTAAAAGGCAATAAAGTTATTTATAGTTGTATTTGCCCTCCAGCTGGATTTGAAGGCCCACATTCTGCTCTTCCTCTTAGCCTGGAGCAGCTACGCATATGTATTGGAGAGCAGAATAATTTAATCAAAGTACCTTTTGATATGATTGTTCAACATGTTGCAGTTCACCTTGCCTCTGTCCCAACCTGTGTGTTTTTTCCTTCATTTGCAATGCAGGTCCAAAAGTCTAGCTTTGCATGCTATCCGCACAAAGGTGACAAATTCTGACAGTGGGCAAGATATAGAGAATGGAGACATGACATCTGGCATCTCATTCACTGAAATCTATCTGAATCAAGAAAATGACAAGTCACCTTTTAGTATAGACACTGAAGAAGCACAGCCAGACAATTCTTTCATTTTGCATCCAACTATCAAATACCCAGAATCAGAAAATTTACCAGAATCTCTTAAAGAAACTAGCCATGAAAGAAGTACAGAGATGGTAAAAAATTCTGAGGAATACCAGGATAAGCTCTATATGCATTTAAAGGAAAATCTTAGTAAAGTGAAGGCATATCTTGTGGAGATTGGGAAGAAAATTCCTATCCCAGATCAGTGTGTTATTGAAGGTAAGAGGCCTGAACCTTTCAAAGGATGGGACCCTTAAAAGAACAAGTTAAAAAAATATGTCAGTGAACATGCAGACTGTCAGCCACGGTCCTCTTGGCATCAGCTTTTATATGGGTTGATACATATCTTACAAAACAGTGTCATTACAAACTACAGCATTTTGAATTCTTAATAGCTCTGAATTGTTCCCTTTAGCAGTTCACTACATTCTGTCCCATGTTCATGGTTTTTGCATACCCCATCCTCATTCTGAAGTGGAAGGATCTGTGAATATGATGATCACTGCCCTCTGGCAGAAACCAGGCAGAGGATCAAACCATGGTCCCCTAGAACAAAATACACACACTGCTACTGTTTGATATAATGAGCTAGAAGACGATGCATAGGGCCTGTAAAAACTCATGTTCTCTATGCCAGTGGTCTCCAAAGTGGGGTGCGCAAGACGATCCTTTGGGGTGCGGGAAGAAAATATTAGAAATTCTATTTATATTTATTTTTTATCTAAAAAAATAAGAAAGAAATTAAGCTTTACTAATATTTAATATACAGATTGACACTGGCGCCCTCACTCGGTCCGTATGTCAGATGGTCACGTGTCACGTACAGTACGAGAGGTATCCTGAGGGAAGAGTGGGAGTTCCACAACAAGGAGGGGTTGACAGTGGCGCTCTCAGTGGCGCCCCCAATAAATATACATATGTTGGGGGTGCATGCTCAAAAATTTTTAACTGATAGGGGTGTGCAATCAAAAAAATTTGGAGACCACTGCTCTATGCTGACAACAGAGAGACTCATTCATACATGGTTACACAACACATGCTGGAGATGGTACATAAAGTCTAATTCTCCTTTCTTATTCATAAAAACTGATGAAATCTGTGTTGTTATATGAAACAAACCAAAAAATCAGAACCAGAATCACAAGATCATTGTGTTCCAGAGTGCTACATCCTGATTCAATGAATGACTCCCAGTGACTTCACTGAGCTTACTTGGGACCCTAATTATCTTTTCCTCATGCTGTATCATGATTCCTGGCATCTTCATTTTATGTCAATAGCTATTTATTTGCAAATACTTGACAATGCTGTCCTGTGAGGTTGCTGTGAACGCCCTCAGAGTACAGCATCAGTGGCCTCACTCTAATACTCCTTTGCAAGTTTAAATTTTTAAAAGCCAAATTCTAAACCTTTTACTCTCACTGGGCACATCTACACATGCACCCCACTGCACAGTTGGCAGTGCCCAATCATTTAGTACTTGCTTTAATACTTGCCTTAGCAAGTACTAAATGATTGTGCAGTACCGGTACCACATGCCTACCTCTAATTACTTCTTGTATTTCATAATTTGCCCCTCTGTGATTAAGAAGCCCATGCTGAGCAGAAAACAGCTGAATTTGTGACATGAATAAGTAAGTCTAATAATCTGATCACTTAAATATTGTACCATAGCAAGATATGAAAAAGGCCTTTCCTGTTGACAGTTGTCCTTTTGTAACAGGGATGTCCAATCCCTAGCTCGCAAGCCAGATCCAGCCTGCAGAGACATGTCATGTGGCCTGCAGGGCCCTTCAAAGGTCCAGAAATTTGGCAGCAGGGGAGTTAATTGCCATTTGCCTGCTGCCAAATTTCCAGACCCTTGGGAATCCCTGCAGATTAGATAATGCAGCTCTTCATATCAGATCATGCCAGTGCAGGGCTGGATCCAGGTGATCGAGCAGCAGGAGGCCAATATGGGATTGGGCCAGTGTATGGCCAGATCCAGGTGTGCAGGATGAGGTCCATGGAATGGCCCTGTATGCCAACCCTGCACAGTATCTGGCCCACAGACCAACCCCATGCCACTCATCTGTTGGGCACCACTGCTTTAGTATTTTTTTTAGCTGTTAATTCATTTAGTGGCCACAGAGTTGAAAAGTAGTTTTCTCTTGCAAAAGATATGTTTTCATAGTTTGTTTTTGCAGAAATTGGAGGAAAATGTCTCAAAGGTCAGCTTTTCTGTTGGTCCTCTTGTTGTCAAAGATGTTGATATGTCTTGTTGCTTCAGTAAATTGCACTGGGGTTTGAGAATTAATACATACTGGTGGGTTTGCCTGAAAAACTGAATGAATCTGTCCTTTTCAATATAGCAAATATTTTTAAATGTATTGTTCAATGCCACCTTAGTGCCAAGAAACAGAAATTCCTATTATGATGATATTCTAAGCATGTGATTTTTTTCTTTAGAGTTCATTCAAACTCTTGTAATTTCCTGGAAAATCCTCAGCCAGCATTCTTGAGGAAATTCCTTGAGGGGAAGACACATGTGTAGAGTAGAAGATTTATGTGACTCAGTCTAAAAACATTCACAGAAATTCATTCATACTCATTACCCTGAGGATGGTTTGTTCATAGTTCAGATATTGCATAAACCATGCAATCACAAAGCTGGCAGTTATTTGACCTATATGCTTTCTGAATGTAAACCTGGAATTTGTTTAAATGTATACTTTTATACCTTCTTAAGTTGTTTATAAAACATTCTGATTCATTTAAAATATAGCTAGTTAATGTTATATTGACTTATTAAGTCTTTGCTGAATGTACCATGAAATCAATAGAGAGATGTCCTAAGATACATACAGGCATTCTGTTTAGGTTGACCTAACTAAGGATAAATGCCCATCTGTGTAGGCATTCAGAGAGGTTAAATAAGACAAAAAAATACTATGCCTGATAGGTTAACCTGATCTATTGAAAGCCTGTTTTTGGAGAGCAGCCCTGGGTCTGGGAAAGCCCAGCCCCAGCTCCAGGGCTGTGCTGTTTTTATGCCCTCCCCTCTCCCTGCCCCTCACTCCTGACCTCCCACCCTGACAGGGGTATTTTTAGCTCCTTGATCCGCTCACACCCAGACAGAAAACCCTGCCACAGACCTGCCAACCCTACCCCCTGCCACCCCACCAGCCCTTTCCAATCCCTCTCTCCCCTCACCCTGAGTTACTTACTCCAATTTCTTGTGTAAACTGCATGAACATAGACCTGGTGCAGTGAAAGTCTGATGCACCCGTAGTTGTCACTGCAAAGGCATTCATGATTTGGTTATGTGGAAAGCAGAAAGAGTAGGAAGGAGAGGAGAGGAAGGGGAAAGCCGATGGGGGAAGAAGTAGGAAATACCTCATTTGATAGAATAAGAAGCAGCCATGACAGCAGGTGCTCATAGGACTAAAGGACATGTACTGAACTTCAGCAATTGGAGTTGGTCCAGCATGCCTTTATTCCTGTATGTCCCTTACTACATTTGCCACAAACTGAACCTGACCCCTCTCTAGCCCTAATATGGGTTTTCCCAGACATTTCCTCTTGTTGGGTCCTTCCATCTCTGTCCAGGCATTTTTTTTAAATATCAACAAATGTCTGGGATTTTTTTCTGCTCAGCATCAAAATTTTTCCTAGCACTTCTGGGTCTACCCTAGCAAGAAACTGCTTGGGGCTGGGGGGAATGCGAGGAGGGCGATGGGAGGTAGGGGGTTTCATGTGCATCTGCGCGTGCACACACACGTGGTCAGCATGCAGCCAGGCAGGATGGTGAGATCAGTCCCAGCTCCATGTAGGTAAGTCTATGGGGAGCAGGGGTTGGAGGGCTGGGGCTTGGGGATGGTCAGGGGGCTGTGTGTGTGGGACGAGAGCAGGGGTGTGTGGAGGGGGTGTGGATGTGTGAGGGGAGCAGGTATGTGCTGGTGCTGGGAGAAGCTGTCCAGATATTGGGGCTGCAGCGGGGCAGAGGAGGTGGGGGAGGTGCCTGCCCTTCCAGTGGGGGAAGGGAAAGAGGGGGTGGTGGGGAAGGGCCTTCAGGGACAGCAGGGAGTTGCAGGGCCTGGCAGGCAGCACTGAAACCAGTGCCCTTGCTCTTGCTCACAGCGGTGGGGCAGCTGGGAGGTGCTGCAGGGCTGGGAGGAGCTGGGTGCTGGTGGACAGGAGTAAGAGGCACTGGCAGGGCTGAAAGGACTATGGCTTGAGGGGCAGGGGCAGGGCAGGGCACTGGCACATCACTGCTCTCCCCAACAATCATGTGCCCCGCCCCCAAGGTGTCCTCCTTTTTGTTACTGGAAATATGGTAACCCTATCTAATTCATCACTTCTCTGGCAGCAGACCAGGTTTCTTGAAGATTTAGAAGCAAATTTTCTTGTCTGCAGTTCTGAATATTAATGTCAATAGCCTTGTTGACTATGGCTACTTGAGATGTGCCTCTGGTGCTGCCCCAGGTGTTCTACAAGTTCATCGACTGTATGAAAAGCTTTACTTTAATTCTCATTTTCTCTGACTTTTTCCTTAGTTTTTAATCTGTATCTGAGTCCTAAATCATTCAGATACAGCTATAAGTTTTACAGATATGAGCTTTTTCTAGTTGTTTATTCATTTATCTTGTATTTATTTATAATCAATTTCAAAAAAGTATCAGACAAATTCATGGATGACAGGTCCATTGTTAACTATTAAATGGAACAGTCAGGGATATATCCTCTGACATCTCTAAGCTAATGATGGTTGATGGCAGGGAGGATGTTTTAGGGGATGGATTAGACCAGTGATTCTCAACCTTTTTTAGACTCAAGGCAACCCTCATTAGATTCAAGGGACCTCTCAGAAAATAGTAGCTCTTAGCTTTCATGTGTTTCTTGACTACAGAAAAATAATAAAGCAATTCTTCTGTTTCAAAGAAATCAGAAAGACCACAACAGGTCAGCATGTTTTGGCACCATGGATTCCTATTTAAAAGATCTGGGTTTATCTTGTGAATCATGAGTCTGTGTTTCCACACCTAAGTGTTATTTTCACAGCATGCTGTGGCACCTTTAAAAGGGTCTCATGGCACCTTGGTTGAGAATCACTGCATTAGATCATTAATCACAGGTCTTATGTTCTTTAATGTGAGTTTCACAAATGAATCCAAGTGTCAAATTATATTGTATTAGTTAAGAAGTTTAAGCATTTAGAAAAAAAGTATGTTTGCCAACCC